CCTAGCACAGCAGAGCCCTGAGCTCCGCTGGAGTCTAGAGGTGCTGCTTTTATACAGCTGTTTCTAAAGGATGCCCATGGGAAGACTGGGCTGGAGCCATTGGATTCCAAGCAAACAGCCTCCCTCTGCAAACCCCGAGAACATCCCGTTAGTGTGATACTGGGCTGAGCAAACAGCAGGCAGCGGAGGGAGGAGCCCTTGGAAGCTGGGGGCTTGGAGAGGTTCATGTTTGCACAGCCGCAACTAGCCCTTTCTGTGGTGCTCCTGGAGATTCACCAGCCAGACTGTTTGCAGGAGCCTCTGCTAACACTGAGCCTCAGTGTGAGGGGGCAGAATTAGCAGCTCCCTTGAGTCCATCCAGCCTGGCAGAGTGTGCTAAGCTCCCCTCCCCTGTACCCCACTGCGGGCTGGCTGGAGTGACTTCCCATCTCCACCTTCAGCAGCAAAACATGCGCTCCCTGCTCCCTCGTGGCTGTGTGGCCTACTGGGGTGAGCCCGGCCCAGGAGCTGGGACTATCCTTGTGCCTGCTCCCAGGGGGAGTTTCCTTGGGCTCAGCACCAGACACGTGAGTCCTCCCATTGAGTCAGTTGTATTATCCATGCTGGATCCCAGGATTATCCCAGCTTCTGCGCCATGCTCTTCCCACTAGGCCACAGCCCCCTGCGATCCCCAGGCAGGGAATGCATGTGGTGCCCTCTAGCTGCGGGCGATAGCCTGGGGCCTGGTTGGAGGTTGTGAACTGAGATCAGTGTGGGGAGAGGCGTAGACGCCAGTTACAAAAATAACTGGGCCCCGGCCCCGTGCTGTGGGTACTGCCGGCGCTGTGCTCTTAACCCAGCCCGGGGACGGTCGGAACAGCAAACAGTGAGTGTTTCCAGCCACAGGTCTCCCAGTCAGGCCTTGTTTGTCTGTGATAGCAGCAATGCAGGGGCTGCTTGTGGCTTTGCTGGGGAGTTAGCTAGGCAGCCCTGGCCCAAAGGTCAGCGTGTAGCGCTTTTATTTACTCGCTCCTGTTTGTATTGCAGCAGTGGCTAGAGTCCCCGAGCAAGGTCAGAGACACCCCCCCATGCTCAGTGCCCGATGGGCTAAACAGACCAAGGGCTGGAGGGGAAACGGGCACCAGGAGGAGCAGTGACTTGCCCAAAGTCATGCTGCAGTTCAGAAGCGGAGCTGGGAATAGAACCCGGGTCTCCTGAGACCTGGCCCAGTGTCTTCCCAGGCCCTTCTGTACAAAGGGAGCGTAGTTCTCCCAGGCCTGCCCCCCCCCATACACACGCTGGAAGAGAGCTCACCATGGCTTGGGATTAATGTTCCCTCTAATCTTTGCCATCCAGGTACAGAATAAATTTTGTTATGTGTACTGAGGCGTGGGTGGATGTGCACCACCAGGAGAAACACCCGTGGGCACAGTGCTAATCAGCTGGGCAGCATTTGATTCTCTCCTGGGTGGCTACCCAGGGCACAGCTTACAGGGAACACTGCTTGGGAGGCCTCAGGTTTGCAAGGCCTGCCCCCGGCATACAGCCCCCAATACAGGAGTCTGACCAGGCCCTGGCTATTGTGCCTTTTCCTCTGCCTGCCTGAGACCTTGCCGAGGGGCGGGAACCTTGTGGGGGGAAGTGGGCTCCGTACAGCGTGCGTGGGAACCCCGGCCTGGTGCCGTGGAGGCTCCCGCGGCAGCTGGCAGGTGTGAATGGACATGCTCTGCTGATAGCTTATCTGCTCGCCCTGTTTCCATGTGCCCAGCTTGTTATTAATGTTTACACAGGCAGTGGTGCTAGGTAAAGGATGGGTAGGGTGACTTGCTGCTGACAATGGAGGCGGACTCAGCCAGCCGCATGGAGACCCTTCCGGGGCAGCTGGAACCTTAGTACAGCCCCACGGCCTGGAGAGGGCTGACACCCGGGCTGTGCTCCCTGGCCTGTAGCTACCACAATCTGCTAGTGGGAGAGGCTCGGACAGGAGCAGCCGGAAACTCCCTTACAGCTGGCGCTCCTGCCCTGCTCCCTTCAGCACCCCCTGCTGGGAGAGGCTGGGACTGCAGCAGCAATGAGTAGTTGGAGCAGTTCCTGCCTGGAGAGGGCAGGGAAGTTTCCCCAGGCAGCAGTCCCATCCCAGGCAGGATAACGCAGGATCCTTCCCGCCTGCATGTGCCCAGATGGGCCAGGTTGGGGGCCAAGGCAGGATCCAGCAGGATCTGTGATAAGAACAAAGGCCCAGGCAAGGCAGTTAATCTGGGACAGCAGGAGGACCAGTGTGGAGAAGCTTCTAATGAGGGCTGATTGCATTCCTCTGAAAGCGCCCATTGGCTCCCCTCTGGGGATGGGGTTTGAAGAACTGCTTGCAATGTGAGAAGTGGGGCAGAAATGGCTCTTCCACCCCCACCACACCGTGGCCATCCCCTGAGGGGGGCATTCCGGGGCAGGACCCCCGCTGTCTGTGGGACGTGTAGGCAGGGCTAGTGGATGCGCCACCCACAACCTCACTTCCCCCCGCAGAGGGCACCTGGGGTCCCGCTGACTAACATGAGGGGCTCTCAGCCCTTTCTCCCCATCTCGTTCAGCCCGGGTGCTGGGCCACCTTTGCCTGCCCCCCAGTCCACTCTGGGTGCTGCCACCCCCAGCGTGGGCCAAGCTCCCACCCTGCTGGTGCATCCTCTCAGGTTGGCACATGCTTAGCTGGATGGCAGGAAGGTCGGGAGCCACCTACTGAAGAGGCCTTCAGCTCTGCTGGGCCCTCCACTTGCAAGGAGCAGCCCGACCTTTGCTCAGCCAGCCCAGCTGGGGCTCATGGGGGGAGACGGGGGAGGGCAGAGCCAGCCACATGGTGCCACGCTCACGGGCCCCCCCACCCAGTGCAACAGAGGAGCCTGTGCCAGCTCTTGCTGCCATGGCAACCCAGGCCTACACTCCCACACCCTGACCCCAGGCTGGCCGTGGACGGAGGCTGTGTCCCCAGAGTGGTGTGTACAGGAAACCCGCACCTGGGTACGGTAACGTGTTCATTTGTGTAAACGTATAACCACTGAATTTCCAGCGGTTACATGGTTACACGGGTGGGGGGAGGCTGGTGCTTAAAAGCCGGCACACTGGCTCCCACCCCCACTGCTGCCTCTGATATGGAGGCAGCAGCACGTGTGTGGGTGTCAGCCCCGGCGCGTCGGTTAACCGTGTACTCGGATGCACATTCACATCCCTGCGTTCCTGGCACGACCGCCAATGGCAAAATTCGGGAAGCCTGGGAGCAGTGGCTCGCAGCCCCTGCAGTGAGCGCCCCATGGCTCCCAAACTCTCCGCAGGGTTGGGAGCTATGGGGAACTCGCCGCAGCTGCCGGGAGCCGCAGTGAATTTTCCGTGGCTACCGCCACCCCCAGGCTGGGACAGGAGACCCCTGCAAATACGTGGAACCGTGAATAGCGATTCCACAAAGTGCAAGGGTCCCCTGTAGCACAGCTGCTCCCCACCGTTCGGCAGGTGCTGCCCTCTAGCTGGTGGATGCGGGCGGATGGCGCGGGGTGGCTACATCGTTCCCCGCCACGCTGGCTTCTGGTTATGTGGCTGGGGCCGAGCCTGCTTCCTCTCCCGCTGGGGCACAGGGCCGAGCAGGGGTGCGGCCCCGGTGGCTCTGGGATCCGGGAGGCAGTGCAGCAGCACAGGCCACGGCTAACGCTTGGCTGTTGCTCTGTGGAGGTTTCCCTGGGCTGGTATGTGGCCCTGTCCCCAGCCCCCGCCCACCACCCACTTGGATGGAGCCTCTTGCTCTCCCCCACAGCACCCCGTGCTGGTACACGCAGGCCTCTGCCCACGTCCAGCCTTCCCTTGCTAGGAGATGCTCTCCCTACCCAACCAGTGGTCTGCGCACAAAGTAGTGGAGCCGCTGGCTGCCCGTAGGGAGTGCAGAGCTGGGACAGGTGCCTGGGGCGTTCCCCTTTTTGCCCTTAGCAGGAGCCTGACCCCCCTCTGTTTGAGGCCGCTGAGGGAGGAAGCAGGACGGATGGAGCCTCTTCCACAGAGTGCTTGCATCCCTCCACAAAGGGGAGAGAGCCAGCGGCGCAGCCCTGGGGAGATGTGGGGAGGGTGCCAGCTGTGTTGGGGCCCGTCCCATTTAATATCCTCGTTAATGACTGGCAGGGAGAGCAAACAGCAAGTTAATGAAATTCCCTGGTGAGTCTAAATTGGGAGGATCCGCAAACAACAGCCAGGGCAGAGGATTCATCCAAAGGAAACATGGGAGAATGAGAACATGCAGATGGGAGGGACAGAAATAAACCTCAGCCATTGGGGGGAGAGAAGGGGCGAGACTCCACAGCCCGGTAGCCCCAGGCTGGAGTGCCCAGTGCCCTGGTGTTTGCTGTGCCATATGGCAGGGGAAACGAAGGCTCCTAGAACATAGGGTGGCATATGCAGCAGTGTCCCAGAGGGAGGAGATGCCAAGCTCTCTGCCAGCTCCAGGCTGATTTCCCAGTGGTTTACCCAATGGAAGTTCAATGTTCACTCCACCAGCAGCAGCATTTTGTGGGCTCTGGTGTCCCCCAGGGGCTGGGCTGTGGAGAACGGGGCCCGCTGGGTTCGTTTCTGGGCACTGCATCACTAGAGGGGGACTCACTGGAAGCGTTTCAGAGGAGCAGCGATGTAACGCGCGCGAGAGACTGAATGGGGGGGAGTTAAGCAAAGAGCAAGGAAACGAAGGCAAGTATGCGAGGAGCGTAAACGCCAAGGCGAGAGAGGAATCGTTGGGGGTGGGCTGCGAGCGGGAAGGATGGGAGCGGAGGATAAGAGGGCAGAGGTAGGCAGGACCCCAGGAAAAACTTGCTGGGGAGGGAGGTCGGTGGCCTGGTCTTCCCAGGAAGGGCAGCGGCCCTTGGAAATGTCAGCCCAAATGTGACTAGAATCGGGAACAATCCAGCATTGACAGAAGAGGGGTTGGAGGATCTGCCTGGCCTCCTCTCTCTCTCGACCGGTGCTTTTCAGCCCCCTGCTCGTGTCCCCTTCTGTTGCAGTACCGCGTTGGACAGCTGTACATGATCAGTAAGCACAGTCACCAGGAGAGCGAGAAAGGCGAGGGTGTGGAGGTGGTGAAAAACGAGCCTCATGAAGACCCGGTCCATGGGCCTGGCCAGTTCACCGAGAAACGCGTGCACCTGTCCAGGTGAGTTCTCTGCTTCATCCCTGGATGATCATCCGCAAAGCACAGGCCACTTCTGCTGCTGTCCCTGGGGCTGAGCGCCGGATTAAGGCTTCCCCAATAGACAACGTCTCTCCTGAGTAAGGGGCCCCCAGTCGCAACCCTGATCTCTTGGAGGGTATTTTATTAAACCCCACGACAGCCCTGGGGCTGCAGCTCTCTGTGGTGTTTGTACAGCACCTTGCACAGGAGGCGCCTAGGGACTGCCAGCTGTGGTACTAGGATGGCAGCTGCCCCAGTGCACGCTACCCCTGCAGTTGGCCACCTGGTCTCAAGACCCCCTTGTCTACGGGCAAGAAGACAGTGCAGCTGCTGCAGCCCACTCAGCTGAGCCCGGCCCAGTGACAATGGAGAGTTTGTGGGGTGGATGCTTCTCCCCAAGCCTGAGATCCCCAGCTGACCGCAAACAGCAGGGGTGGGATGTGAACCTGCATCTAGCTCTCGGGGCCTGCGTGGGCCCGCACCTTCCCCCACCCCCTAGGCTTTCCAGTCACCTCCTCACTGGATCCTGCCTGCTCCGTGTCGGCTTCTCCTTACAGTCCTTTCGCCGCAAGTGGGCCCCTCCACCGCCAGCACCGCCCCCCTTGTGTCATGGGCCGCTCCCCCAAGCGCTAGCTGCAGCTCAGCCACCATTGTCATTGGAGAAGCTGCTTCCCCCCCCCAGGCGCACAGTCCCGGGAAGTCGAGACCCATCTGCTACAATGGCGTGGGCTTCTTAGGGCTCCTGTTGAGCTGGTTCCTATGCCCAGTTGGGATGTTAAAAAACGTGGATTTGTGTAAATGTGCAACTGCAGAAATTTGTAGCATGCGGGGGGCAGGTGGGAGCCGGGATGCGAGGGGAGCTGGCTTAAAACCCCGCCTGCCTCTGGTAGAGAAGCAGCAGCGTGGGGGGGAGGCAGTTCCCGTGGGAAGCCAACTTTGACGCTCGCTCCTTCTGAGCACCGGCTCCCCTTTGCCCCCCGTGCTGCTGCCTCTGTGGGAGGCAGTAGTGGCCGGCAGGCGGCTCGGCACGGGCCGGGAGCCAGCTTATCGGTTAATTGTACAGGCTCGTAGCCCAATCCTGAGCCCCTTTCCCTGCTCAGTCTCCCTCCCCGCGCTGGATTTCAAGGCAGCGTTTGTATCCCCAGGCAAACCTCTCCTCTGGTGCCAGGCTTTGCCCCAGCATGGTCCTGCAGGGGAAGCCCCACTCCCTGCATATGTAGCTCTCGGGCCAGCCATGCTGCTGCCCCAGACGATGTCCCCATGCACCTGCGGGAGGGGTGTGTACATCGGGGTCCCCTTTGCTCCAGCCTGGGTCTGAGTCCTGTCCTAGCTCCTCCTTAGAGATCCCGGAGCACGACTGATTAATCGCTTCCCGGGAAAGGCTTCGGCTCTCTCCCTAATTCACTGGCCCTCGTTTGGCAGCGGCCTCCAGGGGCCTGAGTCCTGGTGGGTTCCTCATGGACAAGGGTGGGAACCTTTCTATGATGGGGGGGGCCACTGACCCCAAGAAAAATCATTTGGGAGCCACACGCCACTGAGAAGCAAAAAACACCCTCCCTGGCCTGACCCCGGGGGAAACAAAACCAAACCAAACAGAGGTGGGGAAGAGAAGCCGGCTCCTTGCCGCAGGGCTGGGCGAGGGGAG